AATGCACAACATCTGATTTACAATGATGATTTTCTATGATTTCATTGCATAATTTTGAAATATCTGGTACGTGTGTTTTTATTTAAAAAATCAAGAATTTTAATTAGTTTTCTAAGTTGCATGTTTTTTTTGCCTTGTTAGCAAAAAAAAATCGATTTTAGTGTGTCGTGAAATCCATCGAAATCGATTTGAATCGATTTTTTAGACACTTAAATCGATTTAAAATTTTCAAAAAGATCGATTTAAATCGATTTAAAATGGATTTAAGTGAGATTCTGATGGATTTAAGTGAGATTCCGATGGATTTTAGTGAGTCGGAAAATCCATCGAAATCGATTTAAATCGATTTTTTAGACACTTAAATCGATTTAAAATTTTCAAAAAAATCGATTTAAATCGATTTAAAATCCATTTGAGTTCGTAAAATGGTCATGGTTAATCGATTTAAATCGATTTAAAATTGATTTAAAATCGATTTAAATCGACCGGAAACCATTTCTGTCAGTGCGGGTCGTAATGTTCTTGTGCGTTAACTACTGAAAAATTGCATGGCAAAAATATCCGTCGACTGTCGAAGTTTCACGTTTGATTAAATTTTAATTCATCAATTGATTTTCAGTACGCATTGTTTTCCTTAGTTAAGCAAGTATACCATGCTGATTAACGTTTGTCAACAAAAAACTCTGCCACATTTCATCATCTGCTTAAGAAAGCAAAGACAGAGATCACTTTTTCACAATTTTTTTCTCATCAATTAGTTTTTGGCATGTTTGATCAGCTTAACTTTCCGATTTTTAACTCATAAATCAATCTCAGGTCTATGCCGAAGACAGCATATTTTTTTGATAATTACGCATCAATAGCAAATATGTGCTCTACTATTGAACTTTAGAGGTAGAGCAAATTGAGCAGAGTGAGAAGATGCAGTGCGATGAGGCGAGGAGCTGACTGAAGACGAAGACGGCGAGCAAGCATTTTCTAAGTTAAGGGGGTGGTCTGAAAGATCAAACCTCCATGATTAGACCATAAACCATTTTTTGAACAGCACATTCTCGGTTTGACGTCGCAAGAGATATTTATTGCTCTTTCATGTCCTGATCAGTGGCCATTTATACATGATCAGGAGTGAAGCATTGATATATTTTGGAATTAGCGCTGAAATATCTCGTAATCAGCTCTACAAATCACAGCTCCGAATCAGCGCTAAGGCACCTCTGAAACAGCAAGGAATTTCAGAACATTAGGGAAATTCAGCGCAAAATTATTTCTGAATCGACGCTGATTTTTGGAATTATCATTATCAAACTGAATTTCAACCTATAAGGATAGTTGTGTTCTAATATTGCGCTGTCGAGGAGGCCGAAAAAAGTGAGCAGAGTGAGAAGATACAGTGGGAACAGCTGGATGACGACGAAGACAAAGAGCAAGAATTTTTTTTAAATTTAAAAGGGATGGTGTGAAAGATTAAACCTCTATAATCAGACTTAACAAGAATTTCAAAGAACTTTATAAGAACCCTTAGGTTCAAACATTCCATATTGACAGTTTTTATTCGTACTTCATACAGTTTTATCATTTAAAAAACATTTTTTCAACATCAACATTTCCAACGATCAACTAGAGAAAAATCAATTATTCAAAAACCACAATAAAAAAGCGAATGTTTGTGGTCATCAAAAACAGCCTCATTGTTATATTTGAAATACAATTATAATTTAATTGTTTTTTTTTCAATAAAATTTTTTTTGAGTCTCTTGAATTGTTTAGGTACTGTATATATTTGCTCAATATCTCTCCTCGTTTAAACAAATTAGATGCTTTGCCATTCGATGACTTCGACGAGAACCTTGATGAATATATTAAGCTTCCCAAGCTGTGGGTGTCGGCACAAGCAAATGATGGTACGTGGAGCTACACTGTGTTAGATGGAGTAAACCAGCTTCATCAATTTCTACTGCAGGGAAGGAAACAGACTTCACACAGTTTTATCATTTAAAAAGCATTTTTTCAACATCAGATGGAGTAAACCATCTTCGTCGATTTCTACTGCAGGGAAGGAAACAGACACTAGACCTGGTGGATGCCAATGAAGTTTTCAGGGGCTCACTGTACAATCCAGAAGATGAAGAGGCTACATAATAGGAAACACGAAAATAGTTTGAAGTAACGAAACTTGTTTGAAACTTTCAAAAGTTGTCATTAATTGTTTTTGGGTCGCACCGTCTCCGCTGCGGATGGCAAAAGTCGTACTATCTCCATTTTAGTAGCAAAAGTTGCGCCGTCTCCACAACAATCGCAAAAACCTCCACCTCGGTCGCTTAAGTCTTGAAATGTCTGAGTTCGGTCGCGCCGTTTCCTGATTCGCACTGTCTTCAACTTAGTCGCGCAAATCGCGGCCGAATTTTGCGGTCGCGAAAATCTGGAAATGGCAAATTAAGATCGTAAACTTTTGTTTGCACCATCTTCTTCTGGGCTGCGCCGGACCATACTGGTCGCGACAGTTTGGACATGCCTCAATTCGGTCGAGAAAGTCCGCACGTTTCAAAAATTTTTGCGAAAGTCTGGACAGAGTCGCAGATTTTTCTTCTCTTTCTTCTATTTTCAGCACTTCAGCAACCCAGACAATTTCTTTCACTACATGACAGAGGCAACTTTTGATCAAATCATTTCGTCCCATATCAAATCATTCGCCTATCACAAGAAGGTAAATAGGTCGAGAAAAAAATGTTTCATCAAAAACGTTTCGTTAGAATTGATGAGGCAAAGCATGCATGATCCGCACTATTATAGCCAGGTCGCTTTAACAGCCGCTTTTTTCACTGCCAGAAACAAAAGTAGATTTTATGCGCTAGCCATTGTTCAGAAAAATTGTTTATAAGACCAAATTAGTTCTTAGTGTAGTTATAACTCGGTAATGCTTCCAAAAGGCAATTGACTATGTCTTAATGCATATGCGGCCACCACAGGTAGTTCGAAACGTTGATCGTAGCTTTATGTCCTGGGCGCAACTTGTGGGTGCGTTTCATTACCGCGGGTCTCAATGCGACTGGCAAGCAAGTCTGTTATCGACTAGGATACAATCGTCAACAACGGACATTTGATTCCATAGCGGGTTGGAGTATGGCCCCATCAACTCGAAGCCTTGTCTGTCTCCTATTTCGATAACCCGTCTCATGCTGTCCATTCTTTTTTTAGCTCAACCAATATGATTTTGCGAACACTATTAAACCCCTATTTTGACCGCAGGCAAATTTTTGAAAACAAAACAGGCCAATAAAGCTGTTTTTGGGAATTTTTTGAAAAATTTTGACCAGAAAAATGTTTTTTTTTTCGGCGCGCACTTCCCCCTAAAATTAGTGTATATTGGCGCCGAAGGATGCTTAAAGAAAAATTAGGATTGATCAGTACCCAGTTTCGGCGGAATCCCTCATAAGCAAAAAAAAACAGAGAAAAAATCAGCCAATCAGACTTCAGTATTTCAAAATTTGAAAAGAAAGCGAGATAATCTCAAAGATTTTATAAATTTCTCGCGGATTAATATTAATATTGGACGAGATAAAAACGGCAGAAATATGCAAAACTTTCAAATTGTCACTGACCGCCGGCGAATTGTAACAAAATTTATATATCAAGGGTTTTGTTATAAAAGAAGCAGAAAAAAAAATTATTTGACACTTGTCTTAATCGCAGTTGTTGAAATTTTCAAAACTTTGATTTTGGATACTTCTCAGTTTCTTTTTTTCCACCGCTTTTTAGATAAGCGGCAACGTTTTTTCAGATATAATTCAAATGTTTTACACACAGCCGAAGAATTCGGATTCAAATCTGCGACCTAGCAAATTTCAGTCTCACGCACTAACCACGGATGCTTAAAACCCCCAAAAACTAGCCGCCAATAACGCTAGCCACCAATAACGCAGCTGCTAATAAACTGCCAATTCGATGCAGCAAAAGTAGCACCAAAATTAAAAAAACTGATTTTGCATGTAATAAATTGGATAGCATACAGCCAAATTATGTATAAATTATGCATTGCGAGATACATTGAGTTGCGAAATTCTTGAAATCGAGCTTTTTTTTTATTAAACTGCTGTTCGAAACAAATATGGTTTTCGGTTTATTCGATGAATCAAAAATGCATCATTGTGTTATTTTTTTTACTAATTAAATGTCAGATCACATTTAATACTATACCGCTACCGCAGCTTACCGATTCAAAAGTGCAACCAAAAATAGCATTTTATGTGTCACTTCGGTTGGAAAAAAAACTTTTTTACTAATACACTTTGCGTCGTTAGAGTAAATATGAAATATCATTCTAGCCAATTCAATAATTGTTTGCGGTACCTGATTTTAAGTGGAAAAAAAAAACATTTCAAATTCGTGAAAAAAGTTTAAAAAATAAACTAAAACACACAATTAAAGCTTCTTCCCATTTTTGGTGGTCGGAACAACAACGCAATGACCCAAAAGACGCTGCCAAAATAAAGGAAGATTCATTTTCGCTATCTTAGATAGAATGTCCTTCACCAGAACTAGCTTGGGCAACTAGATAAAAAGCGGCTAAATCTACAGGGCAATTAGTAGTTTTTTACATTTTAATTTAGAAAACTGCAGCCTAATTTATTGATTTAAGCAGCCAGAAATCTATGTCTACGCGACTCAATGGATCGAAGTTATGTATTTCACAATTGGCAATCATACCTTAGTGCTTATTATAAGTCAAGAATTGATTTCTTTTACAACTTCATATTCGGAAACAGTTCATGAGCGAAAGAGCACATTCATGTATTACTGGTAGGGCTGAGGGGATCTCAATTAAATCTATTTTTTTTTTAACCAAGAAACGGCATAGTTTATCTCTTAGCAAGAAAATCAACATTAGATTCCATTTCGGAAAAAAAGGATTTATTTGTTTGCATTTTGTTGATTATTTTGTATCTCAAAAATTGTTGCAAAAATATTTATTCCTTCAAAGTGCAAGAAAAAGTCCCATGTGATCATCATTAATCATTTTACAGGTATAACGCACAGATTTGGCGAAAAGCAATTAGAGTTCTCTGTCTACAGTACAAAATATACCAACAATACAGCCTTCAAGCTCTAATTCTACCAGATGAGCTCCAATTTTATGCTTCAGAGCGAACAATTCTGAGCTAGCAGCAAACAAACAAAAATAAACAACTGAAGAGTTTTCATCTACATTTTCATCAAATTGTGTACATTTTTTCTTTTCAAGTTGTATGTGCACACGTACGTGTGATTTGGCTGGTTGGTTGGTGATGTTAATAAAAGTGAGCAGCAATTTAATCAGTCTTTTGCATTTTTATGAACAAGTATTGATCAGCTTAATCTCTTTATCTCTCTCTGCACGCACCTTCTTCCACTAGATAGAAACACTTCATAAGCACCGTTACGACACAAGTAGAGAACAGAATAAGAGATAGGACCAAAAAAGACTATCTACGATGTTGTCAGCTGTACAGGTTGAGACGTTTGCGTTTGACACAGGTAAGAATACATTTGACAGCTTAATTTTTGATGTTCTGGCCGACCACTCACGAGTTTGGAAGAACTGCATGGTGTAGAAGGATTGATTTGCTTTGCGTCACTTAAGATACCTCAACTAAAACAGAAAGAGGGTCAAGTGTGATACAATATTAAAGCTGTCATGATTTGGGTGGGTTTCAAAAAGATATTTCGAAAAAATTTTCAATGGTCTGAGTTTTTGGCAATTCAGACTCAAATATAGCGAAGATCTTTGTTTCAAACTGTAAAATATATATGTTTAATTAATATTATGTAATATTACTTTAGTCTGAGTCTTTTCCCCATAATTTTGATTTTACCTCCAATTCTTATGCTTGGAGTGTCAATCACACAATAGTTATAATTTTTGTGACTAAAGAAAACAAAATAAAACTCGTTATTTTGATCGAGCGCCAACAATTGTAAATTAAATTATGCCTGATGTTTCTGGATGAAGTTTGAATGAAATTTTATTGCTGGTTTTTTCTTCTCGACCCATGATTTATGAATCTAAGTATGAATTAGAGAACCGCCTCATTCAGAATTGAATGATGTTTGAATAAAACAAACCCATCAATCATACACCTGTACAAGAGAAACTTCCCATCGTGTTGTTCTTGGCGTGTTTCAGTCCTGTAAACTTTCTAGAACAGAGCAGAAATGATTCAATTGACTGTTGCACGTCTTACCTTCCCCTCACAATTCACCCCTCTTAATTTAAGCTTTAAGCGTTACATTTTGCCCCCCCCCCCACACACACATTTCGACCCAAATTCACAACAAGAGTTTGTGTATGAGATATTAGGGGCGAATTGTGTGTGGACCATTTCTTCTTTTCAGGTCTGCTGCAGTCGTCTGTTGAGGAGTTGCCTGCAGTCGGGTGGGATGGGGGTGCGACCAACTGTTTATCTAACAACTCATCCCCCTCAGCAATCAACAGACCCTCATTCTCGTCTTCATTCCTGTGCTACAATGAAAATGCCAATTGCACGGTGACAATCTCTCTCCTACTGTTTTTTTTTTCAGAAATAGGATTTTTCATCTGAATAAGAAAAAAGTGAAATATATATTTTTTCAGTCTTATACTTAATGACACGGTTGTAATATTGTGCAGGTGGGGGGGGGGGCTGATTTCTATTTTTAACTGCACTCGTAAAATGATTTATTCGATTCCAATTAAATTAATGAAACAATCGTCTCTTAACTTTGAATTCCCGGGATGACCAAAACAAGTTCTTGAGATAAGCTATCTGCTCACATAATACAATGGTTACCTAACTATTAGCTCTATTACTATTAGAAAAAGCTTTATCCATCCATCACTGCAAAGTTGTTGAAATTTTTAATGAAATTGGCAAATGAAAACTTTCAATTAAAATAGTCGCGCTGTCGCCAGGACTCGCTTCAATTCAACAATTTTTCACATTTCTGCGAACTTCGCAACATTCGACACAGAGACAAAACGGAGCTTCGCACACCACAAAAATAGAACGGAAGCTAGCAGACAGAAAAACTCGAATATAGTCTTTAATCGATATATTTCTTCATGAACTTCTTTTTTTGTGCCCTGTAGGATTTCTCACCTGACCAGTTTGAGATGGTGGAGAAGTCTCTAGGTGATGGGTGGACTGTGTTCTGCTTCATCTACCACTGTGTGCTAAATGACACTGCCCAAATAGACTGCACTGGAGAGAAGACCTACTTCACGGTATGGATCAACAAAATAGTTCTTGTTAACTACAAGACCCCCAAGCGATTGCTAAATGGATGAGTTTGCTACAAGATACGATAATCACACATGTATAATCATTCAGCTAGTCCTTTATAAGGGAAATTCTTTACCGGGGACCTTAGTAGACGAATAGGTTATAAGATCTAGCAAAAGAAAAATCAACCATTTCCAGAGATAGACTGTTCACACTGAAATTTTGAAATTTGGCAACATAAAAACACGAAGATATGAGCCGACTGGTAATCATTTTTACAAACTTTAGTGTCACAGGTATCAAACATTTTGTTCTTTTTTTGAATAATTTTGGTCAGAAGCCGCATTCCTTACCCGCATTCTTTTTCCCAAACTGAGTAAATAGGCAATTTATGAGTCAAGTCTATAAAATTATTACTTAAGAAAATTGTACACCACACTATGACTCTTAGAGACCAGTTTGATCCGAGCCTTGATGGCTAGGAAAAATGAGCTAGTTACCACAGAGCTCATTAATCAGATACAAATTTTGATTCGAAAAAGTTAACAGTCTAAAGACCCAAAAAAGAACAAGAAAACAAGTTCGTGCCCTCTTAGCTGATACATAGCCAACAGACAGATGCAAAAGAGCCAATGAACGCAAGTAACTTTATACTGACTTTTTTTATTCTAAAAAATCTAAACTTCAAAGAAAGAAAAAATCGATTTTCAAAGAAAAAAAATATAGTTAAAGCACTTTGCACTTCTAGAACAATTAAGGATTGGCTATTTTTTTGCGAAATCTGAAAATTAAATTACACTTTCGAAACTAGAAGTCGATCTCGTTTTGCGTGACCCGTACACTTTTTCTGTTCGATAGTGGAGCTTGCCTTCTTTAAACAAAGGAAATGAACTGAGCTTAAAAAGAAATCAAAAATCAAACCGCGCGTAAAAGTAAATTTGAACCCCGAACAAAATTTTAAAATTTCCTGAAAAAATCATCGCGACCTATATAAGAATCTGAACTACGTCAAATCGTAATTACGCACGTAAATGGCCTCATAATTGCTTTCCGGAAAGTTCCCTTCAAAGTTTACAAGAAAAGCTTCAAACTTGAAAAAAGGCACCACCTTTCAAAACAACCAAAAAAAAGGAATTTAAAAAAATTACGATTACTTCCTTTTAAGGAATAATTTAAATATTAAACTGAACTGAATAGACTTTTTTAAGCTAGCGCCAAGTACAACATGTGACATATTCCTGGACAGGGACATCGCTCTCATCGCTACTTCGGCCGCAGCTGTAGCTGCAATCATAATCGCACTCTGCACGTTCTTCGCTGGCTTCAAACTCGGATTCGCCAATCATGCGAAACGACTTCGAAAAGAGTTCGCAAAACTCCGGTCAATGTCAAAACATTTAGAGCTAGGAGCGCACGTGAATCAAGCGTACAACGGACTGCCTTCTCAATTTGAGCCGGAGACTGCTGTCACTACTCTTCGTTCCAGGGTTCACCGGAGAAAATCGCTTCCAGAATCGAGTTCCAGAACTGGTTCTGTGCCCCAGATGAACAACCAAGTCTCTAAGAGCCCTGGCTACTTTTCAAACGATGTGAGCGCCGGTCGCAACAGCGAGGTCGGTTCCTACTACCAACAGAATTTTCCGACTCTCTATGATTTGGCGGGAGGATTTTCGACCATGACGACTTTTCTGGACTCAACATTTGATTTCACGACAACTCAGACACTGACAATCAACGAGAGAAGCAAAGAAAACATATACACAGACACCGCATCTGCACCGACAATGGACGATCTGAGAGGCACTGGATACATACCAGAAGATGAAAACTCTGGAATATCCGGTGGCCAAGAAACGTATCCACAGAACGCACCTCAAAACTCGACATTTTCAAATAGCCTCCAAGTTAATACAATGACGCCGGAGCTGAGCAAAGAGGACATCTTTTTTATATGATTGAATTCTACGTTCTGTTTAAATTAATGAAAAAATACGAATTTAATTTTTTTTCATGACAGAAGCAGTATTTCATCGATTTAGGCAAAATCATTTTTTTTCAAATGAGAGACCTGAGCTTACAAAATAGCTTAAAATGCGCACAAAATTAGATTTTCTAGGATAATCTAGATTGTGCTAGATTTAGTAGACTAGGATTTTTAGATAGCGAAAAAAATTCTGGATCAGCCAAAAAGAACATTACAACATTTGGGCTGAATTGTAATCTCGTATGAAGACTCGAAGTGCAAAAAAAGCCAGAAAGGTGAAAATTTAAGTTTACTTACTACACCACATTCAAAACTTCGCTTTGACGAAAAAGATACCAAAAAATTGAGCATGATATCAAAGCTCTTAAAATTTCATGAGCATCGCATTTTTCATACCATTTGGATATGCACAACCCAAACTAAGGAAACAACCTTCAGATTTAAAAAAAAATGCTGTGTTTGTTTTTCGTTGTCTTAAATCTACGCTATAAGTGTTTTGCTGAACGGTTGCTGTACAAGTAGCAGAGAAAATTCCGACCACGTTAATAAAAACAATGCCGTTTTCTGTGCATGGCTTGATGAAAGGAACTAGACGAAAGCTTAGAACATTTGTTAATCGATCACACTCTACTTCAGTTACATTCCTAAATTGAAGAAAAAAACGAAAAAATAAAAAAATTCCAGCCGGTTTTACTCGACCAAATTAAACCTCGTCCGAATACGTGAGGGTTTTTCTATTATACATCACTCGACCTCGACATAATGTGAAGATTAATTGTCGCAGGGACGTATCTAGGATTTTCCAGAAACGAGCAGATTTACAAAAAAAAATATTGAAAGTTTTGTCGACTTTTTAGTTCGACCAAATCGATTTTCCGAACTGTCCCATCCCAAAACACTACGAGAACACTACTTACACAAATTTCCAAAAACAAACATAGCTAACAGGCATTTGGAAAAGAGTCAATAAACGAAAGTTAACAGAAAAAAAAGACCTAGTTATAGACATAACAAAAAGACAACAAAAAGACATAACAAAAAGACATAACAAATTGTACGAACAGTTTTAAAAATATTAAGTATTTTGCGTTTGTATGAATTGCATTTTATACACAATCAGTAGCGGATTTAGAGTGGGGCCGACACCCCCCTCTCAGTGATTCGACTTCCTGCCGACCCAAAGGGTCCCCCTTTGTACTATTTTGAGATATACATTTTGGCTGACGAACTATAAAATTTTTCAAAGACGCCTTCGGAGCCAAAATATACTAATTTTGAGGGGGGAGCGCGCGCCGAAAAAGCGCAATTTTTTGGTCAACTTTTTCCATAAGGTGCCTAAAAATGTTTTTTTTTTGGCCTGTTTTTTTTAAATGTTGCCTGGGGCGCAGAAAATTTGACCAAAACGGTTTTTTTAAGGCTCTGGGAGAGCTCGAAAGATCAATTTAATCGACATAAAAAAAGGTCGACAATATTTTTGAAAAATTTTTGAGAATCGCCCCCTGGAGAAAATCCTAGATCCGCCCGTTATATACTGCATTGAAATATGTCAGCGTGAACAATTTTTTACATTGTTTTAATGCAAAACGCGAGTGAACAATTTTTGAACAGCTTACTTTTGTTATTTTTTGAGGGGGTGGGAAACTGGAAAAAGAACCAAAATTAGTATATATTGTCTCCGAAGTGTGTACAGGTAATGTAGGTTTAAAGAATACTAGCGTGTAACGCACCTCCGGTGCTTCAAACTTTCAGCAACTGAAAAACTATTTTTCAGGTGTAATTTGACAGCACCCATTTACAGGGTTCGTAATTACAAATTTGGCAAAGTTTTTTTATTCAGGTTATTTATACAAATTTTGAAGAACCAGAAAATTTTGTGAAATTTTACATAAGTTCCTCGAAAAATTTTAAATGAAATAAGAAACGTCACATCTGGGAAACTGGAAGCAATTGAGCAGCCGCATTTGGACACAAGATTTGCAACTTCTGAGAGTACTCTTACAGTACCCAACTACAACGTTGGGAAATTCAAATTTTGAGAAACTTCACCTGAAGTTTTCTTGAAAAAGGTATTCACATCTCAAAAACTACGAAAATTGAATCCGTCTTTTGATGGCAATTTTCGCAATCTTTGAATGTACACAACTACAGGGTTGGGAATTTCACTTTAACGAATCATTTTGTAATTTGATTTTTCTGAAAATTTCCAAAAAGTCACAAAACTCGTCGTATATCTTAAACAAAAATGTTTAGGGCATTCCTAATTGCAGGCCACATATGCAACCCCTGATATTACTCTGACAGCCCCCCATCCCCCAACTACAGATTAGGAAATTCACTTTGAAAAAAAAATTAATTTAATTTTCATGAAAACTTTTTTGAAAAAATCACAAACGTCATATCTCAAAAACTACAAGGATTTGGGAAGTGAGAATCAGAGGCAAGATTCGTAACTCTGGAGAGTACCCTCACAATGTCCAAAGATAGGATTGAGATCTTCAAAGTTTTGGAGATTTTTTAAATCTAAGTTTTTGAAAACTTTTTGAAAAAATTATAAAAAACGTCATATCTCGAAAACTACAAGGATTTGAGAAGTGAGAATTGGAGGCATGATTCGCAACCCCTGAGAGTACCCTGACAACGCCCAACTACAGGGTGAGAACTTCAAAAATTGAGAAATTCTTCAAAATTACATTTTCTAGAAATTTTTGAAAAATCTCGAAAATTGCCTATCTCGTAAACTAAAAGGATTTGGTTATTCATACATGGAGGCCAGAATCGCAAAACCTGGGAAAACTCTGACAATATCCTACTTATGGGTTGCTTATTTTAAACTTGATGAAATAAACACTGAATTTAAACTGGAAAATCGAAAAAAAGCTTAACATTGCAATATACGATATACTTTAAACGTGAAAAAAGTCTTTTGTTAAACATGCAAAAATAATACGTTGAAAAAGCTTGAACATGGCGAGATAGTGCAGCCCGCATTTAAATATTTAATAGAAAGATAATAGATGAAACTTAAAAAATTAGACGACGGGTAGACAAACATAATCAAATTAATTAAAAAACAGCATTCTTAAGCATTGCAATATATGATATAGCTTAAACATAAAAAAAATTCTTTCGTTAAACATGCAAAATTATTATGTTTAAACATGGGAGATAGCTGTCACTCGCATTTAAATATAGTATAGATACAAGTTCAAGAGCCGTGATTCGAAACGAATAAATACTCTGAGGCGCTGTATTGTGGCTTGGCCAATATGGCTCTTTTCCAGTTCCCCCTTTCAAAATACCGAGTTTTATGTTTCTTTTACGTATTATTACGGCTAATATTACGCTGTAAAGTATGAAGAACAAATCGGTCGATTTGTTCACCGCGCCAAATTTCATTGCATTATGATAACGTTAAAAAAGCTTGTCAAAATTGAATTTGAAAGGGGGAACTGGAAAAGAGCCGCCAATATTTACCTCTCATAAATAGCGAATGCTTGAAGGCAAATCGTTCTTTGGATTGCATTTGATTTCCATGTGCACTTGATACACAAACACAGATGTTTATTTGATTTCCAGATACTTGAGAGCACGCACAGAAATTGCACGTGCACATTGGCGCGTGATTTGTAGATACACATTCTGTACTTTTAGAAGCAAGAACTTTGGGCTCTTTTTCCTCCCCCCCCCACCTCACACGAGCTTCAATATAGTAGTGTAACGAGTGGTTTTACGAGGTTGATTATGAAGACCAAATATGTTTGTCGAGGCCTTATAAGTCCGTATGTAAATTTCCGTAACAATCGGACAATGTGGTCAACAAATTTACATGTAAAAATTTGCAGGTGGGGGGAAAAGGAAAAAGAGCCGTCGAATTTCTCATTACACCACGTTCAAAAAATGGCACAAGCTTGAAAAAAAAAATTGGCTCTTTTCCAGTCCCCCCCCCCCCCCCTTTCAAATTTAATTTTAGAAAGCTTATTTAACGTTGTCATAATGCAATGAAATTTGGCGTGGTGAACAAATCGACAACTGTGAACAGATTTGTTCTTCATACTTTACAGCGTAACATCACGCATTTAGCCGTAATAACACGTAAATCAAACATAAACTCGATATTTTGAAAGGGGGGAAAACTGGAAAAGAGCCAAAAAATTGTGAATGTGGTCGGATCTTTCTGTGCAGCTTGCACAGCAACCGGTTACTATTGCATAAATTGTATTCAGTTTGTTTTCCGTTTTGCATTTTTGTCCGAAGCAAAGGACGGCTCTTTTTGCTTTCCCCCCCCGCACCTGCAAATTTTTCACGTAAATTTGTTGACCACATTGTCCGATTGTTACGGAAATTTACATACGGACTAATAAGGCCTCGACAAACATATTTGGTCTTCATAATCAACCTCGTAAAACTACTCGTTACACTACTATATTGAAGCTAGTGTGAGGTGGGGGAAAGGAAAAAGAGCCAATTCGACGAAAGCTTAGAACTTTAGTCAATCAATCATAATGGACTACAGTGCTGATTTAAATTATCCGGACTAAACGAACAAAACTTGAATTTTCAAACGCGTTTTTCTCAATTTGGGTTAAGATTATACAAAAAGTGATGAGAACAAAAGTTGCTTAGAATTTCACCAGAATTAATATGATGCCATTTTTTCTCCGAAATTCTCAACCAAAATTTTACCCCAACAATGGGTCATTTTGGCTTTTTTCAATTAATCAAGAATTACGCTGAACTATTTTGTTAATTGATGAGGAAAAGGTACCACAAGAAGCCTCTTACACAGCCCAACAAAGTTTTAGCAGGGTTGAATCTGCAAAACCTTGTTTAAGAGAAAATATTTTTGCTTGATAGTCAAGAAACGTGATTTTTACTATATAAAACCCAAAATTTTTGATTAAAAACAAATTTCAAACAGTTACTCAACTTTTTGGAGAGTTAACCCTTCTAGAATTTTGTTGGGCTGTGTAAGAGGCTTCTTGTGATACATATTCCTCATCAATTAGCAAAATAGATTCAGCGTAATTCTTGATTAATTGAAAAAAGCCAAAAAGAACCATTTTTGGGGAAAACTTTGGTTGAGAATTTCGGAGAAAAAATTGCATCATAATAATCCTGATGAAATTCTGAGCAACATTTGTTCTCTTTCTTTTTTTTGTCTAAGCTTAACCCAATTTGAGAAAAACGTGTTTGAAATTCAAGTTTTGATTGTTTCGATCATTTAAATCAGCGCTGTATTTTTTGAGTTTTTATGCAATAAATTGAGGTAAAACAGAGTTTAAAAAGTCAAAGCTACCATTAATTTCACGCTCCTAGGCAGTCTGTAAGAATATTATATCCCAGGAAGCCTCTTACGCAGCTCAACAAAGTTTCAGAAGGGTTAAATCTCCAAAAACCAGTATAAGAGAAAAAGTTTTCACTTGATAGTCAATAAATGTGATTTTTACTGTATAAAACCCAGAATCTCTGTCTAAAAATAAATTTTAAACAATTTGCGCAAATTTTTGGAGATTTAACCCTTCTGAAACTTTGTTGAGCTGCGTAAGAGGCTTCCTGTGATATAATATTCTTATCAATTAACAAAGTAGTTTCAGCGTAATTCTTGATTAATTGAAAAAAGCCAAAATGACCCATTGTTGGGGTAAAATTTTGGTTGAGAATTTCGGAGAAAAAATGGCATCATATTAATTCTGGTGAAATTCTAAGCAACTTTTGTTCTCTTCACTTTTTGTCTAATCTTAACCCAATTTGAGAAAAACGCGTTTGAAAATTCAAGTTTTGTTCGTTTTGTCCGGATAATTTAAATCAGCACTGTAGTTATCTTCAAAAATGAATGGCAAAATAACAAAAAACGAAAGAAAAAATCAGTTACTTTTCACTTGCTCGCTTTACCCGCTCGGAATTCAGCAAAAAAACTTCAAACCTGTTTTTTTCTCAATATTGAGCCAACTGTTTGAACCATTTCACCATTCTTTTGATTATTTTTGATACCTGATTTTGCTTGTAAAAAGGAAAAAAAAACAAACAACCGAAGACGAAGTTCATACCCACTTTAAGCGATTGCAACAATAATAAATTTACAGGTGGGTGAAATAAATTTTGAAGCGTTGCATTTAATTGGTCTTGAAAAAAAGCTTATAAAAAGACATGGCATGCAGGGGTTGTAGAAAATGAATTGGTTACAATGAAAGTTCAATCAATGGCAACTAAAATGATGGATTGCAAAAGTTTCGTCGTAGCAACTATTTATTGCTAATTTTTGTTAATTGAATTTTAAATGGAAAGAGAAGGCAGTCTGTAAAATCTTCTTCAGAAAAAGAGGATTGCTTTAAAATTGGATATTGTCTAAAGCAGCTCATCTGGAACATATATACGGAAATATTCGAAAGCCATAAGAAATTGAACAGGATGTTTTTTATGAGAAAAAAAAATCGGATAAATAGATTCCGTGAACTCTTTCAAATGATTAGTAACACATTTTGCTCGTCAATCAAACTAAACTTCAGCTAAATTTTATATATTCAAATTTCTGCTAAATTTTCTTTGTCTTTTTTGAGAGGTGAAGAGGGAGTGGCGCTAAAGAAGGAAAAGGATAAACTGAAAGTTGCTGAACGAACTTAGCTACCAAAAGCTTAATCAACGTACAGACATAATAATTCCGTCGCAATACTTAGTGTCTAATGACCTTGACCTCTTAATGCCCGAAATTATGTTAAGCTTCAAAAGCAAAAATGTTAAGTTTTTTTTCTCAAATCCAAGAAAAATCTGGCAGTATTTTTCACTTCAGCCCAAATCAGGATTGAAAATGATTCAATATTACATCAATCGAGCTCCTAAATTTGGCTTTGTAGCGCCCATTCCGAAAACGCTCCCGAATGCGTAGTTTTTCACACTTTCATTTAAGTGAACGAACAAGAATACTGCTCGCTTTGAACAATTATCTATGTACCTATTCAACATATTTATCTCCATTAATTGCACAGCTTGCAAAACAAATCGGAGTTGATAAATCTAAAATTACAGATAAAAATCAAATCAAACATGCTCAAATTCTGTATATTGTTGAGCATGTCTCTTTAGCTGGGAATAAGCTACTGGGTTCAGCTGCGAGGAGACAAAACCTAACAAGACTGCTCGTATCAGGGCGAAGCCCTGAATATTCCGACCGCCTTTTAAGGTGTATGGAGCAGTAATAACATGAAACAATTAAATGTAACAAAATGAAAAAAAAAGAGAGATTTTTTGTGAAAATTATCCCTCCACACGCCATACAAAGTACAAAATGATAAATTTCGCTCCTATAACAAATCAATTATGACAAATAAGCTTCCTTCAACCAATTTGGAACGATTTCTAAGACGGATTAAATCTCAGCTTGCACGTTAATAGCGCGAAAAATATCGCGCGTTAATTGTCCCATATTGGCAATCTTTAAACCCCCATAACTCTACGAAAAATGATCACAGGTGAAACATTTTTCAAATTTAGGCTCGAGACAACAATACCTTTTGAATGATAATTTAAAAATTCCAACAAAAATGGCTAGTTAAAAAGACGAAATTTGTCTGAAGAAAAAAACACCCCGACATTCAAATTTGGCAATAAAATTGATTGCAAGTGTGAGTATTTTTAATTCACGATTTTTAAACGATTCAATACTCCAAATATAGCCAACAGTCAATTGGTAAAAAGTTATGAACGCAGAGAAACTGAAAAAGATACTTAAATTTTTCAAAGAACTTTTCATGGTTGACACTTTTTGATAAAAGAACCCAATTTGAGAAAACTTAATCATTTCGTAGTTTTTAAACTCCGCTGGGAAACTGTAAATTTAAAATCCATTGTCGAAATTAGGAGTTGATCACGCTTTTCGTAACCTTTACAATTTTGCTGTTCGCAAGTTGAAATTGCCTTCCTTTTAACTAAAGAATTGAACTGAACTTACAAAAATCAAAACTAAAACTCAAACTATGAAACTCGATCGTGAACAAATTACAATATTTTTTTACAGAAAAAAAACGAAAATCATCACTACCTGTATAAGTGTCTTCTATACAATCAGTAACCTTTTAAAAAACAATGCGAGGTGACAGATGAAAAACAGCCAGAAATAAGTTTGTCATGAGGATTGATTTCTCGGCCAATATTTGGTTTGTTTTTACTCATGAAAACGTCAAAATAACAGCACAATAATAAATTCACAAGATATCAAATCAATTTTTATCAATATTTCATCATTCATGAACCATTAGATGATCTGTTTTTATTTATTGAAAACATTAATTATTACAGATAGAAGTTTTTTTTAGTTCTCATTTCAATTTGGCGTATTGTCCCACAACTTCATTAATATTCGTTACATTTTCAGCTTCCAGCTCCTGGCTAATTTCTTTGTTTATTTCATTGACGCAAGTTGATCCCTGGTAAACGAACCCAGTGTACATCTGCACCAGACTTGCACCGTGTTTCATTTTCTCCACGACATCTTGACCAGAAAATATACCACCAACTCCTATTATTGGAACAGTTCCTCTTGTAAAATTATAAGCTGATTTAATCATCTCGTTCGAAGTTTCAAATAACGGAGCACCACTTAAGCCTCCAACCTCTTCGCGCAAATTTTCAGGTGAATTCAAATTTTTTCTCGACACTGTTGTGTTACAAACTATCAAGCCGTCTATTTTGTTCAAAATCACAGATTGGCAAATTTCTTTCAGCTCGTCAATAGTCAAATCAGGCGCAATTTTGACTAATAAAGGCGGTTTGCTTTTTAACTTGTTGCGTTCTGACATAACAGATTTCAATAGTGTGTCAAAATGCTTCTTAGTTTGAAGGGATCTCAAACCAGGTGTATTTGGACTGGACACATTAACGACAAGGTAATCGGCATAGGGTCCCAGCTCAGATATCCCAATTTGGTAATCTTCCAACGCATTTGAACTATTTTTGTTCACGCCTAAATTCACGCCGACAATATTTTCAGCCCATTTCCTTTTTGCTAGTTTAGCCTTCACATAATCAACTCCAGAGCTATTGAACCCGAAACGATTGATGATGGCTTTGTCTTCAATTAAACGAAAAAGCCGAGGTTTCGGGTTTCCAAACTGTGGTTTAGGTGTAACTGTTCCAATTTCCACAAACCCGAACCCTAGGGTTTTCAGCGAATCAAAACACTCAGCATCTTTGTCAAAACCAGCGGCTAAGCCAAGCGGGGAATCAAACTTCAGACCTAAAAGGTCACACTTCAAAGCTTCGTCTTTGTGTAATTTCACACGCGGTAAGATCCCATAGGAGGCAAGTTTGATAGCCAAATTGTGACTCATCTCTGCGTCGAGAAGGCGCGCGGTTGGCATAACAACTTCTGAGTAAAATCTATGGTTGCCATTGAACAGGCAGATACCGGAGAACACAGCAGTACCTCCCAGTAACAGCTTGAGCATTACCACTCCCCGTTTCTCTTTCATCATAACCTCGAAAGGAAAAATGTGAAAATTTCAAGATCGCCGGCATGTTGATGCTTCCAAACGGGGAAAATAATTACAGAGAAAACTAATTTTATAGAGGACAATACATTTCTTCAAATAAATTTCTCCAAAAAAAATACTTTTTAAATTTTAAACGTTGTTCAAATGAGTTCACCCGTTTTACGTAAACAATTTTAGCATTGTTAAAAAACGTATGTTTCTTTTTGTTCTGATATTTCAAATAAGAATTCTAATTGAGTTGCCAAGCAAGATACTTTGCTCCCTCATTTTTAAATCTTAAGCAAATAAATATTTGCATCTTAAAAAGCTTCACATCTGTATAAGCAACAGATTTGATGAAAGCATTGTTCCTTAGGATGAAATACAGGCACGTTTTTAACAAAACGAAAAAATAACTTACACAGAGGCAAATATAGTTTCGCACCCCTTGCGATACCACAAAAATAGCTTTGCAAGCTAACAGACAGGAAACAAAAGCCACTAAGTCTAAAAATATGAAAAAAAAACGAACAAGAAAACTTCAGTTGTTAACTGTCATGATGTTATTAGAGGAACACACAACCAGACACACAATCGACAGCGTTGAGAGAAAACTCAAAAACAATTACTAATCGGCCACCGAGCCGACAAAATTTGCGTAAATTCTAGTAGAGCCATAAACAAGTGTTGTAATAAACAAACTTTGAACTATAAATTCTATTCCGATAATTTTAGCATCCGAAGGGGAGCATACAAACTGTCTTTCTCTTGAAACGACCCGAAATTAGGTCACTAAGCTGATGAAATACAGACCGAAATAAATTAGGCCGAAAAAATTTTTTTAACACAACAAAAAAAAAGCAAACACGAAGTCAAGGTGAAAAAATACCAAAACGAACGAGTGAATCATAACATTAACTGCAACTTAAGAAAATTGCGTAGACAAAAAACGGTTCTAAGATGTGGCAACTAAGTCGACAAAAAAAGCGGACAAATAAAAGGCTGACAATTTTATTTAAACAGAAAATGTTCCGTTTGATTAAAAAAAACAGGTCCTGGTCAGATTCGAACCCAGGGCCTTCATCATCCCAGGCGTAATAAAATTACCTCCAGGCTATGCGTGCCAAAGAAGCTAAGTGTGCCAAAGACGCTATTTGATTTCATTATGTACCAAAGTCCTGTGAACAAAATTTTTCATGAATAAAAAGTCTAGTGTCCGATTGCAATACCATTGTTAATCGCAAGAGTAAATAATAACACAACCTAAATAAGTGTTCTTATTTCATTTATTGTCACCTTAATTTTGCTTTCTTTGAAAGCGTGATTTGTCTTCATTACATAAATGAATTTTAAGCGAGTGCTTAAATAATTCAAAAGTTGAAACATTAAGTGAGAGTTACTTCATTACTTCGTTAATTAACGATTAATAATTGGACTGAAATTCCAAACTAGCTTTTTTCCAATTTTGGTCAACGAATTGTCAAATATCTTTCCAAGGTCATGAAAATCATTGACAACCACATTTTAGCAATGTGCGTGATAAGAAATTTTTTCTCTGTTCCACTTGAGTGCTAAAAAAAAGAGTTCGGAGGGAGAAGAATCGTACTATTCTGATGACCAAGTCTCGCCAAAAATTTCCCCGTTGGTATCGTTTCTGATTTGATCACCAAAGGCGTAAAGTAACCTTGTCACATGATATTTTTTTCCTTCGAAAATCTGGTGTCAAAAATCAACAGCATATATTGTGCAGTGATATTTCATAACGAAGACCAACTATTCCTCATTCGTACACGCAACAAAAATCCATTTTAATTTCAACTCTTATTCAGAGCAACGAGTCTCTCTTTCATTGCTGTATAATAATAAAATCACCAAATGTCTTCTTAGAGGGAATTATCATGAAGCTTAAATAAACGCTTAACAAAAATCTTCACGAAAAAAATTTTGTTTTTTAAGACGATTTATCCACAAGGGAAAGGACAGCTGTCGCGCCCCTGCTTAAGAATTGCGTGCAACATATTTTTTTGTAGGGCTGGGTAATGTCGCCTCACCCTCAAACAACGAGCACGGATCATGGTGGGCCTCGAACATCCGACCTATCGATTGAGAGGCGGAGACAATTTTGAGAAAAAACTGGCTCTGATACTTACTATCCATTTTCGAAACAAAAGGACATTCACGTTTTTTTTCGCGCCATTCAATCATCTCTTAAACGAGAGCGTAATCTGAGTTCCTTTTAGCAACTGAAATTGAATTGAACACGTCTAGCCGCGAAATCCGAATTACAGTATTAACAACTTCCGACTTTTCCCGAAAAAAACACGACCTAGATAAGTGTCTTCAATTCGTTCATTGACACTTGATCACTTTTTTCAACCAAACTATTGATTAAAGTTACCATTAATTTCAATGGAATAATTCTTGAATGTTTTATGATTGACTTCTTATACAACTATCCCAATTTGAGAAAGTCGGTTCTGATAATTATTTTTGATTTTCGGAAATGGAAGTCATTTACGTTTTTCGCGTCATTTGATCATCTGTTATCAATGAGCTTTCAATTTCATTTTATCGAATGAGTTTGAATTGCTATGAAACAAATAAAACCGCCGCAAAAAATCAACTCAACCCCCCCCCTCTCATGAAACAAATAAAACCTCCCCCCCCCCATAATTGTTTCATAATAAAAAAGTTTTTATTATGAAACAAATAAAACCGCCCCCCCCCCCCCTCAGGGACTCGACCCTCTGCCGACCCAAATGGTCCCACCTTTGTACTATTTTGACTGACCCTAAAATTTTTCTAAAGGCGCCGAAATAGCTGTTGGAATATCGTTAATTGCATCCCTGAAGCAGCAACATATAATAGGTTTCAAGAATATTCTATTTCAGATAAGCATCCGAATCAGCACACTTAGCGGGGTATACATTAATTTCTTAGCAAAACCTCTTAATCATATAGATTTATGGAATCTTTTCGCTGTCAAAATTCTATTATGAACAAAACTAAAATTGATCATTATATTCCTTCCATAAAACGCTCACAACAAAAACATCAATGAAAAAAGTCATTACATTAAAATCATCAGTTCAAACTACACAAAATGCTGTTCACATTGTCAAAAGAGATCCTAACTCACTCTACTCTTTCCGTTTCTAGCTAGTAATCAACTTGAATCTTCTTCCTTTTCCAATAACTTGTTATGCGACCAAGCCTTTCGTTTCCGCCGTCATATCACGGACAGCCGATGCCAGCATCTTAACTTTTCCAAAGAACGGATCAGTTCGTCCCTTCGTTTGATGATACTTCGTCAGCTCTCGTTCCAAAGCCGAGAGAGACCTGTCAAACTTCGGGTACTTGCAAAGCTCCATTGGGTCCAATTTCATCAAAGACGCTTCCAAAACATGAAGTCTCAGTTCGACACGATTGCACGATTGTAGGTTGCAACTTAATTGTTGCAGGAGTGCAAGCACGTTTGGAATGCTCAATTTGAAGTTGGGTTTCTCGATGTTTGAGCCCAGTGTTTCGCATACGTGCAACACTAGTGTAACATCTGCAGCCGTCAGTGCGATTTCAAACGCCTTGTCGTAATTTTGCTTCTTGATCTCCTCCTCGACCAGAGGACGCACATCGATGTGATTTTGCTGCGATCCTAACAATCCAAAATTTAAAATTGAGGCTAGGGTCCACGTCGCAAACACAAACAAAGAAAAAAGGCAAAGGGGACCCCAAAATTTTCAACCTAGCCAAAACACAGTTGGAAAAAGTCAATGAGCTCACGGAATGATGAATATGAAAACGTTTTAATTTTTGATTTGCAAATTTTGATCGATTTTCAAACAATTCATTTTTTTGACTTGTAAAGAAAAAATCAACTTGAAGCAGTTGGAGATTCACTACGGTCACTGCCACTTAATTGCAAATTCATCAAAGAATAGATGCTAATATTATTTTTAACAGAGAGGCGAAGCAAAAACAAGCGCTTCGCAAACACAAGCGAGGAAAATGCAGAAAAGAGCTCCTAACAGGCAAAAACAAGTGAAAGAAGGAAAGATTAAAAACACACCTTGAAAAAACTTGTTGATATTAGAAGTATCATGTTCTCACATCTGCTTTACGACCGCTTTTAATTTTCCTATCACTATCCACCAATAAAGCAGCACAGTTTCTATCGAATTGCCAATGTTATGCAACAAAAGTTCGACCAAAAAAAAACTAATTAAGTGTTCCGGATTTGAATATCCGACCTATTGATTAGGAGTCTCACGTACTTGCATCTGCACCACGATCGCTTGGAAGAAACTAGTGGCCAGCTAATGTTGGATCTACCTGTTCTAATATTTTGAATCTTATATTGTACTGATAGGGAAATGCATAATTTTCAAATTTTCGAAAAATGGACTTTACGCTAAACCCTAGGGTTCCTTTGCTTAAGTAGGGACTACCCGCTTATTTAAAGGAAAAAAACTACCTTCCATTGTCAATTGAAGTCTTCATCTCATGTTTGACTGGGTAGTTTTCGAAAAAAAGTGAAAAAGATCACAAAAACCGATCGAAAATTTCACTTTTCACATCCATAAATTTTTTCTTTTAGAGCATGAAAATAGCCTCTGCTTTCCACGCCCTGATTTTTAGATGAAATCATTCCGCACCCTGATTTTTTTAGATTGAACCCTTAATATCAGATTTCGTAGTTTTGAAGAGTAGTGAGGAAGTTTCTTCAAAAAAACGGTAAAAATTTTAAAAGGAATTTTTCCGAAGCCCATATCAGCTTTTCTACAAACAAGGGTAGAAGATTACGCAGGGAAAATCTAAGCACCATTTAATGAACCATCAACCTCAGAATCAGCAGATAAATTTTTGAAACAAAAAAGAACTTTCGCAAAAAAAGGGGCAACATTTCGAAAATTGGACTTATTTCTAAAGCCATATTGGCAGCGTAGTTTTTGAGAATTAACCAAAATGTCAAAATGCCTTTTTTTGAAGCCATATCTGTTTTCTACCGATTTTAGGCACTAGCCACTTGAGAAGGGGAGATCCCCATAGTTTGTTCTTTCGATTGAAGCCTTCAACTCAGATTTGGGCATTTAATATTTGAGAAAATGAAAAAATTCAAACCAAATAGGCCAAAAATCTCCTTACTGAAACTTTCGTAAATGAAAAGCGACTATCAAAATATGCAGGCACATTGAAGAGCACCCGGTTTTTCCATTGGTACCATTTATTTTTGAAAATCGGCACAGTAGTTTTTTGAGAAAAATTGATATTTCTGCGAAAAGTACAAAAGTTTTCAAAAACGTCGCAAAAAAACGGAAAACAACAAATCCCATACATTTCATAATACACGTTTTTTTTTTTCGAAATGAGCAATTTTATTTGCGAATTAGGTTGGAAAAGAAATTCTTCGTAAAATACACTACGCTTCGCTTGTGTAAACAAAATTGCAAAGAAAACAAATTAACGCCAGCGTAAGTTCGGATTCAAACCCACGATGTACTGTGCACCAGTCCATTTTTACCACTTGCTCCTGAAAGGCCTATGATTCGCTGTAATATAATACATTGGGCAGATCAAAATCATAACTTCCACCTCTGCAATTCAATGAAGCAATGCAACTCGCACGTACGTAAATCACGATACTCAAATCTACTTATCTAAATCTTTCGACACCGTATCTCGCCCGTGAAGATGCTTAGTTATATAACACAAAGCTAGACAAACACATTCTTTGAGTAAAAACAGCAGCTAGTAAAGCTGCCTTAGTGAGCAGTTCTCTTCGCTTATGTTTGCAATTAAATCTACTATACTATACCCTCACTGGCATATTTCCTGTCATAAGATGTTTTCTGGAGTTATTAGTTTGACCGGAGTTATTGGTTATTACAAGGCTAATCTTTCTCAGATGGATGCTTGAATCAGATGTGTTTGAGAATTACTAAGACATTTCATCTACCTTCAGGGACTGGAGTGGCGGCTGTGACTTGTCTCTGTATGTGTCTCAACTGTGTTTGGAGAGTGGTCTGCAGCTGTCTGTTCTGCTCCCCCATCGCACTCTGCCACTCCCCACTCAGACTCTTCTGCAGTCCCAACAGACTCTGCTGCATCTCACCACGCATACCTAATTCGACACAATAACATACACAAAGTAGTCAAAAACCATCACTAAACTATTTTTCTCAAATTAAAAAAAAATATATATTTTTTGGTTTATAAGTTAACCTCATCCCACTTGAAATCAAATGCACAAATGTCATCAATTAAAACCAAACTCAGCAGAAACATACAAAAATTAGTCAAAAAATATCGCAAAATATTCGTTTAAATTCCGGGCGTGTGAAAGTGAGAGTAGCGGTGATCGTGTAAAAACGCTTTTCCTATTCAAAACATAGCTTTTTATGTTTTCATACTACAGTTTTTGTCAGTCTTATTGAGCATGTTTTTTTTTTCAAAGCACAAAAAATATGTTCAGTTCAAAAACATTCTAAAACATCTCCTCTTTTAGAGAGTAGAGGTGCTATTTAAGAAGCCAAAATTCAATTATGTGAATCACTAATCACTGCCCAGATACTAACTGTGCAACTCGGCCTTGACAGTCTCTCTGACCACTTTCTGGATGTCCGCCTGACTGGTTCCCAGTTGTTTCTGCACTGCACCCACATGTGCCTCCAGGTACTTCTGGCTCTGATCACTCTGTAGCTTCCCGTGTGCTTCCAGTGCCCTCATGTACTCACTAGTGCCACTCTAAAAACACCACAAGTTCATTCACACTTTTTTACGCATTCTTCAATGCTCACTTTCTTAACCATTCACACTTGTTCATGTATGTTTAAATGCTTAATTCTTTACACTTTCATACTTTTTCATATTACCTTAAAAGCTTATATTCTTAAACACTCAAACTTGTTCACGTATTTTTGAATGCTCACTTCCAAAAAATGTCTGATGAAGACAACCATATAAATTTGCATCAATATTAATAAACTTGCTGATATTTAATTATAAGTATGAGTCGAGAAGACTTGCCGCAAGGCTGTAAAACTTGATAGAGCAGTCTTTCGTTTTTTTTTCAGTAGAAAGTCATTTTCCTGATGTAATAAAATATTTGTCTGGAATTTGAACAGTGGAAAAGATGAACGCAAGGAAGCTGAAAACAAACTGACTTGTTTTTTCAAGAGCCTTCAACTTTTCAATTTCAAAGACAAAAAATAGATGGTCTTAAAGCTCTTTGAATTTGTAGAACAATTTGTGATGGACACTTTATTGTTAAAATTAACCCAATTTGAGAAAACTGTAAAACTTCTCAAATCAATACCTAAAACTTTTATTTCGCTGGGAAATCTGATAATTAATTTCCATTTTCAAAATCAGAAGTCGATCACGATTTTTGATGTTCGATAGTGGAGTTTGCCTTCCTTTTAACAATGGAAATGCACTGACCTTACAAAGAAATCATAAGTCAAATTGCGAAAAATCAGCGAAAAACTAAGCGTGATTAAATTTTGACTTTTTCCTGAGAAGAAAAATAAGCAAGACCTATATAAGAGTACTCACTACGTTCATTACTCTTAAAAAGAAATTCTGTGGTTATATACACAGACTAGTTTTTTAAAAAATATTGGCTCAACGAGAACAGCCACGCTGTTAAAACTTGTCACTGCTCTGATTTTTCTCATTATTGCTTAAGCACTTTACCTGGAATACATGTGCTACTTGTTTCGTAGACTCTTCCATTGCTCTCGCAAACTGGGGTGCCAACTTCTGTTCGAATAGCTCACGGCATTTCTGGTTGATAACTGTTTCCACAGAGGCTGCAGCTTGTTTCCCAATAGTTTCTGAGAGCTGTTTGCTCGACAGTATTTTCTTAACTTGCTCCTGAAACACAAAAATTTTGGTAGCTTTCGATCACATCAGAATTTGCAGTTCAAGCTTGCAAACATACTTGCTCAAGCTATTTCGTCAACTACTTCCCCTGACGAATTCTGGAAAAATAGCTCTGGGTCCCTTCAATTCTAGTTCACATATATTAAACCTTTATAAGCTCAAATATCATTTTTTTACCATTTTAATTTTCACTTTCGAATTTATATAGCGTAATTTGCCTTCCTTTTAGCAAGTGAATTTGATTTGAACTTATGAATCAAACAACAAAAAAAAAGAAATTTGAGCGCGAACCTTTAAAATTTTCCCTAAGAAACAATGGAAACTACAGAACATACAAAAAACCTTCACTTCGCTCTTTAACCAATTAGACAGAATTATTTAATATTGAGCGCGAACAATTGTTCATTTTAACCTTGTTCAAAAAGTTAAACTTCTTCAAAAAAGTTAAACCACACGATCTAAATATTCTGAAACTCATTAAGTTCACGTTCACTAACACTTGAAAAAATGAACAAGTTAAATTTTTTTTAGGTACTTAGGCTTTAGAACAAATTACATCGAATGAAAGCACAATAAATGTATTGAAACATTTTGATATTTTTTAATGATTTGCACAATTATAAGCGAAAGCAAAAATAATAAGTAAACTCGCCTTCGGCCTAAGTACTTCCACACAAATTATAATCGCAAATGTCGAGCGAAGAATAGAATCCTTATTCGGCCAGAATGTTCAAAAGTATTATTTCTACACTGATCTCAGCAACGCTAAAACCAATTCGCATCAGGAAGTGTTTTGCTTTAGTAACTCAAATTCAAACAGGAAAAAAAATCCCAGGCAAAGCTCACTTTAACTTGTTTTTGAAAACAATTTGACACACAAAAAGCAAAGTTTCAGCAAAAAAAAAACGCAGAATTATTTCGAGTGACACAAAGGCAAAGCTGCTCTTCGCAAACACTAGCGAGAACACGACAAAAAAGCAACTTTATAGAGTGAAAAAAAAAAGAAAAAATAGAAATAAGCCTCTACATATCGAACCTCGAGATTTGGAGTCTCACAACCTGTCCAAAGTATTTAGCTAAATTATCTATAAATTAAGCATTTCAAAAATATTGCGAGATATATTGAGCTTGAAATTTTCTGAAATCGAGTTTTTATTATTGTACTGATATTTGAAGCAAATAGCTTTTTTCGGTTCATTTGAGCAATAAGAAATGCATCAACTGCGTTAAATTATTACTAACCAAATATCAAGCACTAATATCTGCGACTGAGGTTAGAATAGTCGTACCATTACACTATGCTCACTGAAGTTCGCAATAGTAAATAAGGGTTATGAGTTATCAGCAAATAAATATCGCCCAGTGCCTTAAAAAATTTCAATTAAAAAGGTATATTAAAAAATTTCAATTAAACTCGATATTTTTGCGCCCTCTTTCATTTCTCCCTCAAACAAAATAGTCATCGAACAAAATAGTCATATTACTTTCTAGCGAAGCCAGAATAAGAGAGTAATAAAATCTATTGCGAGAAAAAACAGCAACATACTTCAAATATATTTTTTGAAAACTTCAAAACATTAAAAGAGTAAGTGCAATCTAGCCATTATCTTACTCTTTTGACTCATAAAAGCTAACTTCAAAATCAAACTACGTGAGCTGGAGGAAAAAATATTGGCGTTCATACATTTTTCACCTGGAGGAAAAAATATTGACGTTCATAAAATTTTCAACTGATAGTAATCAAAAATCATGATTTCAAAAATTCAAGACAAGCCGACAATCATTACATGCTTCGGAACAGAGAAGAATGGAATGCACAGAAAATATCAAGAAAAAGTTTTTAAAAACTTTAAAAATCGTAATCAAAAAAATCAGCAAATTTTGTTGGAACTTAATTACATGCACTATAACCCAAATAGATTGAAAGAGTTTTGAGTTATCATGTAAGCCCCTTAAACTATAAGCAAAATTTGATCTGTGGCAAATAGGTAGAAAAATAAGCCATAGTCATACAAATAGTCGGCAAAAAACGGTCCTGACCAGATTCGAACGCAGACCTTTCTCGTCTTAAGCATGAACTTCACCTCCATGCTGAACGTTCCCAATTGATAAAATGAATTTGATTTAACAACTTGAAAAAATCGTGTAATCCAGAAGAAAATCCCATAACTCGGAAAAAATGCTAAAATAAATAATCAGAGGAACGATAATGAGAGAACTAAATTATCAAAAAAAAACAGTACGAATCGCAATCAAGACCTTTCTCGTCCTTAGTATGGACGTACTTTTACGCTAAATGGGCAACTTGTTGGACTAAAATGAGACTTGATAGATATACTATTTAATAAGCCGAGTCCAACGGTAGAGTTCAGTAAAAAACGTTTTCAATTTGATAGGATAGTTTCTAAGAAAAACAAAAAGTTCCTAAAAACGGTCAAAAGTTCAAAAACTTGAATTTCCGAAACCTATCACTTTTTTTTCTGCAATGAGAAGGTCGTTACCGCTTAAGTATAAACTATTACCATAACCGGACTTCTCGATTGAACTTGAAAACTTAACCTAAAAATTTACAGGGTAGTTATCGAAAAAAAATCAAAAGTTTCAAAAAAAATGGTCAAAAACTCAAAAATTTGACTGTTTAGCGAATCCTAATTATACATTTTTGTGTAAAAATATTCGGGGGTAGCCGCTTGAGCAGAAAAAAATCACACAATATGATGTTTCGATTGAACGAAAAAAAATTAGGCCTAGCCGCAACTTCGAAAGCGTCGCAAAAAAATAGAAATTAAAAAAATTATAAAATTAAAAAACCCAACCGCATACATTTTATGATTTTACTCCATGTAATACCTGATTTTGTCGAATAAGAAATTTGCCGTCGGAATTACAAAATATCAAATGACTTAACCAATGCAACATCAGCCGAAACCATTTAAACGAAAAAAAAAACTTAAAAAAACTAAGTTATTCAAAATCAGACACTTCGCATGCACAAGCAAAAATATGACCGATAACGCTTTTGTGAAAAACTGAATGAGTAAAATTTTTAGTCTAAAAAATTCTTAAGTGACGCACACCAATTATGACGCATTAGCAGTACCATTCAATTTGAAAAAGAAAGAAAGTTACCAATTAACATGCCTCAATTTATAGAGCAGTCTGTGGAGCATTAATAACATGAAGAAATTAAATGTAACAAAATAAAATTCAGTTTTTTTAATTGGAGATTTTTGTGAAAATCATCACCCCACGCGCCGTATTAAAAACAAAGTGATAAAGTTCGCTCCTAGTAACAAATCAATTATGGAAAATAATATTCCTTCAACCAATTTGGAACGATTTCTATGACGGATTAAATCTCCGCGTTAATAGTCCCAAATTGGCCAAAATCGCAATTTTATACCACCATAACTTTCCAAAAAATGATCACAGGTGAAATATCTTTCTAAATTTAAGCTCAGGATAACAATATTCTTTGAATGATATAAAAAACAATCCCGTCAAAAATGGCTAGTTAAAAAGTCGAAATTTGTCTGAAGAAAAAAAACACCCCGAGCACAAATATTCCGTTACTTTCGTTACCATAGTCGGAACAATAATAGTCTGTGTTAAAATCCTTAGCATTGGCTGTATTTAATAGCTGGCTATTGATCAAAAAGAACACTTTCAAAATGAACACATTTCATCGCAACAATATTTGCGCCGCAACAATATTTGCTACTTAGGTTGGAAAAAAATATAGTTCATACTATAACACAAGCCTTGCTTGTGTAATAAAATGACAAATTATGGAACTTTCAATTATAGTAAAAAAAAATTACCACCAAAACAAAATCCATGCTTTACAAATTAGGCTGATAAAAATTAGTACCAGATAATAAATCATATTTAAGAAATAGAAAATGAACCGATGGAAACTAGGTCGAAAACCGCGAAGCCGAAAAAATCAACATTTTTCAATAAAGTTATTTGAAAACATAATTACTGCCCCAAACGTACCCCTTATTAACTCAACTACCTAGATGAGGTACTTTACTTGAAATTTCAAAAAAATTTAGCATGTCTTGAAATGAACCATTCCTAATTTGACCATTCTGTGACCTAAGTTATTTACTGGAAAAAAACTCTAGGACCCGGTTGTAATACCCTTTCTTGTCGCAAGGGCAAACATGAAAAACGAACCGGAAAGTTTTCCGTTTGCGAAAAAGCTCCTGGCCGAATTCGAACTTTGGCCCTCTGTTAACATACGCACGGACGTTACCTCTAGGTCATATGCGCAACATCAAACGCTGAATTTCGTTAAATATACATCAAGCTATCAAATGATTCTGTTTGACAAGTTGATTCCTCAAAAACGACCATGGTCCCATTAGATGACGCTTACTAATCGCAAGCAGAAAATTAGACGTTATCGCTGAAAATTTAAAAAAGATTACTCACTTTCATAACAGCATCAGTAGATGTCAATTTCTGAGACACCAACGTGCTTACATTGTCTCCAATAGGCTGCATATATTTGTTTACAGTAGGGACAACTTGCAGCTTCATCTCATTCTTGACTTGACTTCCAATTGTATCCTTTAGAACAGTTTTGGATTCTTTCTGATTCGCTACTATCGACGCTGACAACTTGTCCAATCTCTTTTCAAGCATTGTTTGATTATCCTGAATGGTCTTCAAAGCAGATAGAATTTCACTCATGTCAACCTGAGTTGTAACTGCAGGTGATGCACTAGGCGCTAAGCTAATCAATGGTTGCGCGGAATCCCCAGCAGGGTGTGCCTGTATGTGATTTTGGTTATTAGATTTATGTTTGTTCTTTTTCTCTTCAGATGTTGTTCCTCCGATTCCAATAAGTGCCTTCAATGCATCCGCGTCAGATTCATTTTTCTTCTGTCGATCGGGTCCTTGGGGCGTCTGGAAAAACTTCATTACATTGTCATTTATTTCTGAGTTCTCCCGACTAAGTTTTGGCGTGTTGGGTTTCTTCGTGGGTCCACTGAATCCTGGCATCAGTGTCGGACTTTGCGTGACATTCGTGAGTTGTGAATTATTCGGGTCATCGTCCCAGGAGTCGAAGCCTCCGAAATTGCTACTGTTCTTTGCGTCTTGCCCGTTCGTAGCTTGTACTTCTGAAAAACGATAGCAGCACTCATGATTTTTACACAGAGGCTCAGCTGTGCTTCGCAAACACGACCAAAATGCAGCTCTATCAAGTGAAATAAGAAAAAGTAGAAACATGCCTAGAATTAGCAAAAACTCGGCTACGTTTGCATGTAATAAATCGCAAAAAATAAAGCCACATTTGGTATAAATTATGCAGTTCAAAAAATTGCGAGATATCTTGAGTTAGATCAATAAATTAGGTAAATTTTTGAAATCGAGTTTTTTTATCATTGGTATGTTGTTTGACACAAATAGCTTTTTTCGGTTCATTTGATGAATTTAAAGTACATCAACCGTGTTAATGTATAACTAATCGAATGTCCAAGCACATGCTATCAATAGTACATGTGCCCCAAAAGTGGCCCCAATATTTGCGATTTAGGTTGAAAAAAAAGGTTCGTACTAAAACACTCGCTTCGCAAGTGTAATCAGGAACCAATATCTGCTATAAGGATGAATTAGTGAAAAATCACCACCTGAAAAAAAGCAAAATCAATGCATTTTAGTTTAGACAACTAAGCCGCGAGCCAAACATACGATTAAAAACCATAATAATCGTTCCTATTCAGCTATAATGACTTTATTTGAAACCTTACTGGTTTTTGAAGCAGCAGACTTCTCCCCAAATGAGTTCGGACCCAAAAGCTCGTTAGAGTCATCATTGTCATCATCTAGAGTTTCGATCTCTTCACATTCTATCTCTATGTCCAACGATTCCTCTTCTGTTGCTCTGCTTTTCAAATTGGCCATTTTAACAGGCTCAATTTCTTCGTTGATTGAATCAACGTCCGTGAATTCTTCGTCTTGGCTTCCATCTTGATTATCAAACTCCTCCTGATCATTGTTGTTATTCTCACCACCTGGCTTTGGAACAGGCAACACCTGAGGCTTGATTGGAACAGCAGCAGCTAAACCTTTCGGAATCAAGTGAGTGCCTGGGTTGAACAAGTCAGACGTCACTCTGACTTCGAGTTCCTGCATAGTTTTCGTGTTAATTGAAGTCATTTTTATGACGACCTCGTTTGACCCTCTGTCATGTTCATCGTCATCGTCTTCTTCCGTCTGAATTTGCCAGATTGAGAATGAAAGTACAGGAGAGGATAATTTATACTCAGTGCATACAAAGAAAGCAGCGTATCCAGATTTATCTTTGTTCTGGTGTTTTTTCAGAGTTAAAATGTACATGATTTCTCTCATTACATCAGTAAGAACTACATAGCGACCCGTAGGATCCATCGCTGCTTTCATCATGGGCTGCGGATCTCGCTCGAATGTTATAGTCTGAAGCAGCTTCCACGTCGAAGCGCACCACAGTTTGATTTCTCGGTTGAAATCAGCTCCTGTAACAAAGAACCGCCAAAAAGATTCTGTAACATGTGGATCCCTGTGGTTATCACAGAAAAGCAGAGATGACAATTTGCTGCTTTTGCTATGCGGCTGAAAGTTTTGCAGACATCTTGAGGACGGCGGGGTTTTGTCGAATAAGAGTTGGAAACATTTCATGCATCCATCTTGTGAGACTGTTGCAAGGATTTGAGCATCGGGCGAAACATCACAGTCCGTAACAACTCCTCCGTTGTCTTTGATGCAAATGTACGAGTCACTAAAAAATTGCGATCACAGTTGCAAAATTTTCTATCGATTCAGTCGCAAACTCACATATTCTGTGGTCAATCAGTATACAAAAACGAAAGCATTTCGACGAAATAGAATAATTCAAGGATAAGTGAACAAATTCTCACCTTATGTCTTTTAAGTTGAGATCACGCTGATCTTCATATTTCATTGCCAACGTATCGAGATCAAACACATTCACCGTTTTGTCAGTTGTGACCACAAAAAGGGGCGGCGGCTCCACTAGTTGGCTATCTGAGTCACCTTCGCAAACTGGCGGGCCCATCATTGGTTGCCATTTCAACCTGGATCATTTAGATTTGCCGCCAAAATAATTTTCTTAAACTACATGAAGCCACACTTTGATTTCAAAAATTACCTGTGGTTATCAGACGAAACTGCATCTGAGGTTTTGACAGACCAAAGAACAGTGAAATCAAGAGTCGAACCCCCTTTATTTTTCAGTTCCCAAATACTGAAGTTTCCCATAACATCCACAGCTCCAAGAATAACATTTGAATGCGAGGCAAAAGCAAGATCGCAGATATTGTGTACAAAGTTCTTGATGAGCGTCTTGCTACCGGTTTGTCGATGCATAATTCGAATGCAAAAGTTTGTCTGCAAACCTAAAACAAAATCATTTTGTCTTCACTGACGCAAAAAAATCAGATGAACCTTGAACTCTTTATTAGATTAATTACAACTAATATCGATAATCTTACCTCGTAAAGCATAGGCAAAATATTCAGAATTTGAAGTAACCAAATTTCCTGTGTGATATTTTTGTTCCCAGTCATATCTAGTTAGGTCTCTTGCAAATATTTTTCTTGAAGCCTGAGAACTCGACTCTGTGCTAGAATACACTGTGACATTTTCGGCTAACACGCTTTCATTTACTGCATCATGTGATGCTGAAAAACTGACCTTCAGGTCTTTCGCAGGAATGCAGTGGGTCAAAAGTTTTACATCCATTCTGAAAAAATGCAACTTTACTAGAATCATTAGGAGGAAAACTATCAAGCTAACACAGGTTGTCGTCATCAATCGTCATTCATATTGTCCAGAAAAAAAATATTTTTGTTAATTACCAAGAACTTGTTATCTAGGGCCAACTTAATGTGGGAAGTGTTCATTAATATATAAGCAAACAGAGCAAAATGATGCAAAATTCATAGCTGTTGTCTCAAAACAGATTTCATACAAAACAGTTAGGCGTTCTTGAAGATAATCAGAACGTCAAAAGTATCATAAAAAAGAGTCCCTTCATCACATATTCCAGTCAAAACCCTAGGAATTTTCTAGATATGGATAAGAAAAGTATAACGTGAGAAAGAAATAAAGAGAACCAGCTGGTTTGGAGTCACGCCAACCAGATTGAGAAAACTAACACCTGCACAGAATAAACCGGATTTGAAAGAAACTCAAAAAGTTTGAACTGATATGAGGCTACAGTTCTATCATATACTAATAGAAAGCTGCGCTTTTTTGTTTCATTGGCTCTGTAAATGAAAAATTTCTCCTAAAATAGTTTAATTGTTAACGGTGCCGTGCCGAGTACACAATCATCGTTCGCAACCAGTACTGCGAGGGAGATTCTCCGCTTAAAGAAACTCTACTAGAGGACAAAATTTTACGCAAACTAGATTTTCTTCAGCTGTTTATGATCATCGACGGAAATATTAATTTCGTTGCATGTTTTTTGAACTGTGACATTCGACCAGAATTGACGAAAATGCAGATTCGGCAATTTCGAGTTATTAGCAGCTAACCTTCCGAATTAGCAGTTTTGAAGGATTAGCAGTGTTATTGGAACGATTAGTCAAACTGTGAAGGCTGGAATATTCTGGTATTTCAAATTTTTAAAATTTCGAAGTATGACGTCATATTTCTGAGAAACGTCAGAATCGGCCATTTTGGAAGAAAACCAGAGAAAATCAGAACAATAGTTGCGATAGCGATAACTACGAGAATTGTGATAGAAAAACCTCAACGAATTGCAGAGTCAGCAGAGACCGTTCCGAGTTGCAACGATTGTGCCGCTACAATCGTTGCAAGGCCGTTCACAACAACGGTGAAGGGTGGAAAAGCAGCCTTCCGGAAAGAAGACAAGGTTGTTATTTACCCGGATTCAAAAATCCGGAGGGGTCTCGGGACTTGGACTCATATCATTTTATACAAACTCTTAGCTTCCTGGTTATGTCTTGAATTGAATTTATTTAACATCTGAATTCATTTTACGACGATGAGAAGCTAGGAGTTGGAGAAAAGGGTTGATCCATCTTCGATGGAGATGATGATTGTTATCTACTGAACAAAAACTATAGTAACACAGTAAGTAGTTGTAGTCCTGTTTTTAGGAGTGACCTCGTGGTCTGGTGATACTGAGACGCAGCCATGAGCTCACCATTTTGCATGTAATTAGGTTAATTTGAGCGTTCTGGTCGAAGCCGGAGAACAGTAACGTTTTTGTCGACCCGATGTTGAAAAGACCACCAAAAGAACTGGCTTTGGTAGAGACGGTGAAAAGCATGTAGAGCCCTTTTTAGACGTTGGCCAGTCGTCTTAGAACCTAGCTTTATTTTTCGTCGATATGTACTTCCGGGCGAATGTTACACTGATGTTTTTATGGCGCTCCTGGTTGTTATTCTTTTAAACATCATGACCGCCAGAACTGTTAACGAGCACTCCGCGCCGAGCGGATGCTCATAATAACGCCCTTAAAAGGCCCTAACCGCCGGGGCGGAGGGGTAGTTCGGAACGCGGAAGCCTTCCGTATTCCCGTGAATAGCTTTTTAACCTAGTTAAGACCGAAAATTCACGAACGAGGAAGGGTGGGGGGATTAGCGGTCCCGTCATCTCTTGAGTGATCCGTGACCAAAAACACTTAAAGATATATATAAACCAAACAAAAAGTAGTATAGTACCCAAGAAAAACTAAAAACATAAAAAATAACCGAAATAAACCAAAAACAGTTTAAGAAAAAAGTAAAAAATCAAAAGAAATCATCCCTCCAGACAAGATGTGATCCGACCCTCCCGTTTGTTGTTGATAGATATATTGTTGTTACAGGCATTTATATCAATCAGGATTGTTACGATCATTTTTGTAGCCCTTTTGTACTTTTTGTACTGTAGGGTTGTTTGAGTATTTAAGCACGTTAATGCTAATTTGCGCTCAATCCGGAAGGGTCTGCTGATTTGCGCTCAATCCGGAGGGGTCTTGGGAGAAGACTGATCCGGCAAGCAGTACAAGGAGCAACAAGGAGGGGCTCAACGACAACGACAGTCGACTGTTGGGTATCGTTAACAAGTTTTGTATCCCTTTTGGTACAAAAAATAAGGTAGTAATCTGTGGGGGGCTCGACAGTGCTGCACTGTAGTGACCCTTCACCGAACTGCGAAAATCCGAGTTAAGCACCTTAATTCGGATATTGAACAAACCCGCAGGGGTATAGTGTTACTAATATCATTACTTATAAAGACTATATTAATACTCCTATATCGTTTTTCAGTAAAAAACACAGTAGGCGGACCGATTTTTAGGGTCAAAATAGCGATAATTTGATCCCCCCACAAACCGCGATTTTTGAAATATCGATCTTTTTGAATTGGAAAAAAAGCTAAATTAGTGAGTTATCTTGTAACTGTGCTAGTATAATAGGTAGAACCGGTTGAGTTTAGTTCAGAAGTGGTTGGAACTATTTTGGTACCAAAAACCAAATTTTCGCGATTTTTGAGAAAACGGAACACTATAAAATCAAAAAAAATTTTGAGATTTTTGAGTTAGGACAGAAAAATAGTTGCTCGGACAACGTAGACTAGTGAATATACAGGTTTTAAGACCCGTTTACCGAAAGCCTTCCGGATTACAGAGAAATCGAACTTAACGTGTTTGGTTCAGTGGATTCATCAATCCGGAGGGGTCCAGGTAGCATAATTTTTCGAAAATTTTTTCAACTAAAGCGTTTTAGATCGGTTATTCTTGCATTGAACTAGACAAGTATAGGCCTTGTGAGCTCGGATCAATAAATTTTAGGTCGAACAGAACAGAATTGCGGAAAAAGTTAGGCGGAACCTATAGGAGAGAAATTTCTTGACTTTAGAAAAAAGATGTTTTGGTTATTAACTTTGGAACTACTGGACAAATCTAGTTAATCTTGGTACCATTAGATCAGAAATTAGCTGAGCTTACTAATAAGAATCAAAGTTGTTCGAAAAAGTAAGCGTGAAAATTTTTTGAGATTGTTTTTAGCAAATTCACCAATTCGGGAGGGTAGACCCTCACGTTTTAAAAAATTTTTTTTTGGAAAGCCCTTACATCCCGTACCAAAGGGTAGAAACGGTTGAATAAGGCAATTTTACGCTGTTCTAGAAGATTAGGGAAGGCTAAAGGCACCAGAAAACCTTGATAGAGCCGAAATTAGGCTAGCGATAAGACCCTTCACCGTTAGCGTGAATTGTCAAATAAGAGGCTTAACTTCAATCCGGAAGGGTCTAGGGAAGGACCACATACCCTTCCTAGTTGATACAAACAGCATAATAGCGTCGGAGAGCTTATCCGGAGGGGTATATGTTGAAAATCAAGGAAATCTCAGAAAAGCTAATTTTACAAAACCGGAGGGGTCCCAATCAGGAGGGGTCCAAATTTTTCCTGATTCGGAGGGGTCCCAATCCGGAGGGGTCTTGTTTTCACAAAACTGGAGGGGTCTCAATCCGGAGGGGTCTCAATTTTGCCAATCCGAAGGGGCCTTTTTTTTGCCAATCCTGAGGGGTACTGTTTTTTGTCAACCCGGAGGGGTATTATTTTTGTTTAAGGACTTAAGTAAACAGAAGAAAAGATAATAGTGAGGGGTGTTAGGTTATTAAGAGACAGGCTAGGAACCAGTGACTGCACTGGTAACTTGCCTTTCAAAAAAGACCAGACCAAAACAAAACAGGTCCAAACTCGGATATTCGCGACAATAAGTCTATAAAAAAAAGGAGTTTGTAACTCATTGGTGTGGATTGAAATCCAAAACTTTTTTGAGAAAAGTGACTGCCCTGAGGATTTCAGTAGGTCTAGCTCGGGCAGTCCGAAGGCAGATAGGTAACACAGGACTCAGTGGGTGCAATAGACGCCCACTTGAGAAAATTACTGCCTTTAAGTTTTGTCTGTTTGGTGCAGCACCAAGCAGGGAAAGCTCTTTCTTTATAAAACAAGTTCGACTGCTGTACTGCGACCGACTAAAAGTACAATACACATACGTTTTTCATAGAAATATTTTTATTTTGTTATATCTGGTTTTAAATCAACAGTTTGTGCTTGATTGGGTAGGGAATACACTATCTTTTTAATTGACTGATATCATCATACTGTGCTAGTTCTCAAATCTTCGGCCTAATAATCGATTATTAAGAATAAGTTGTAAATACGCTGTGCTGTGGTAACATACAAGGATTCTTGGTCACTATTTAGTAGAAACTTTTGGAATTTATTGTGTTGTGTTATTATTATCAGTAGTCAGATCAAAAGGACACTAACAATCGAACTGAGTGGATAGATATAAGAAGTGATATAGTGAAAATGAGTCTAGACAAGTCAAGAATACCTAAACGAGGTGATAGCTCTAGGAAATTTATACCTGAAAAGCAAAGAAAAGCAATGACCGACCCTTTTGTGGAACGGATCACACGAACCCGGACCGACAAAGGGGAGACGGTTTCAGGCAGAATGGTTGAAAACAGGAGTCAGAAGTCCTCAGAAGAGCGAAAAGCTATGCTAGAAGTGGAGGTCCATTCGGACCAGGCCATGAATGAGAACCAGGAAATACATGGACCGGAGGGGAGAGACAGAAGGCTGGCGAGTGAATCTACTCCGGTAGAACAAGGCCAGGATTTTGCCACTTTCACCGGGAACTAGAAGATCTCCCACAGACAACACCATGATGGCAGGCGTGACGGAGAAACAGACAACGTCCTCATCGTTCTCAGAAAGAATGAAGAA